GTCTACACTGGGCCACTTATTCCGGAAAATCAGCCGCTTTTCCAGAATAAGCTGCGAGCTGTCTACACTGGCCTTTGAATTTCCGGAAAAGCAATGACGCTCTACTGTACAAAATCAGCCGCTATTCTGGAAAAACTATTCTGCTCCCGCTCGGGCATAAGTCCTTATTCCGGAACACTTTTCTGGAAAAGGACCAGCGTAGACAGCCCAGTAGTCTTTCCCGCAAAAAAGCCCCGATTGCGAAAATGGCGATCGGGGCTCTTTTCCGGAAAAGCGCGTCTACATTGACCACAGACGCTTTTCCGGAAAAAGGGCTTTTCCGGAAAAGCAGCCTGCCAATGTAGATGCTCCTTTTCCGGAAAAACTGAAAACGGAATAGTATTCCGTTTTAAGCATTTCCAGAAATTCATGCCAGTGTAGACACAGCCCCTGTCTGCTACCATCACAAGCAACCCCCTCATACAACTGCACTGAGAAATTTGTCCATCTCTCAAAATTAAATTATTTGTCCTCAGAACTCATTGCATGAATCTCACCCCTTTGATGGTGAGAAACTTTCTAATTTCCAGCCAAAGTTTGTTAATGGATAGTTCATATCCATTGTTCTTGTGCACACATTCTTTAGCATACACAGCTCTTCACCCTCCCTAGTATTTACCTCTCCCCTGTCAGTCTTCTTTTTTGATAGACTAAACAAGTGAAACTTTTCCAGTATCCTCTCATAATATAGAGCCTCCATTCCCCAACCATCCTAGTAACTCTTCTCTGCACCTATTTCTATTTAAATTTATCTTTCTTGAACATGGGTGACTACAATGGAACACAGTATTTTATGCGTGGTCTTATCTGTGCCGTGTGTAGTAATCTTGTATAGTAATTCTGTCTGGCTGTTAGAAATGCCTCACCTGACATAGCCTAGGATCCCATTTGTCTTTTTCATAGCCACATCACATTGGTGGCCCATAGCCATTCTGTGATCAACCCATACTTCCAACTTTCTCTTGTCTGCTGACACCTTCAACTGATGAGGCCCCAGCATGATTTTGCACTTTATACCATTGAATTTCATCCTACTCCCAACTTTATTTAGAACATAAGAATGGCCCTACTAGGTCAGATCAAAGGTCCATCTAGCCCAGTTCTGTGTTTTACAATAGTGAACAATGCCAGATGCCCAAGAGGGAGTGAACAGAAAAGAGAATCATCAAGTAATCCCTCCCCTATCTGACAAACAGAGGCTCAGGGACACCATTCTTACCCATCTAAACTAATAAGTATTGATGGACCTAATCTCCATGAATTTACCTAGTTCTTTTTTGAGCCCTGGTAAAGTCCTGATCTTCACAACATCTTCTGGCAAAGATTTCCACAGGTTGACTGTGCGCTGCACGAAGAAATCTTCCCTTTGTTTCAAACCTGCTATCTATTAATTTCATTTGCTGACCCCTAGTTCTTACATTATGGGAACAAGTAAATTAACTTTTTCTTATTCACTTTTTCCATACTTGTCTTGACTAATCCCCATCCCACCGCTGCAGTACAAGCAATATGCGTTTTTATTCAGAGACAACAGCAGGGAAATCAAAGAAATAGGAACTCGAAGGGAGGGGCTCAGAAATGCATGAAGGACAGCCTTTTGCCTCCTGAGGTCCTTGAGGGTAAAGCTGCCCTTGATTCCTACCCACCATGTCCTGGGCCTGGCAGATCCTGGGGTTTCTAGCGGTGGAAGCAATGTAGCTGGGGAAGGAGTTATAAATATTTTGAGGAGGGCAGATGGGGTTCTGGGAGAAGACTTTCCATAGGCACACAGCTAGGCACTCCATCACTGTTGTCAGGGGGGCAAAGATTCTCTCCTGCTGCCTCACCTGCAGCTTCCTACATGCTCTCCTCTCCTGGCATTCTGCGATCCTGTCCTGGTGCTCTGCCCGCATCTCCTCCATCTGCTCTTTGAACATATCCTCCCTTGTCTGTTTTCACCTGCATATCTGTGATAAGTGGACAGATGCTGGAGCCAGAGGAGTACGTAGTGAGCTGGATGCTGTTCCTGCTGTAATGAAAGGTTACAAGGGCAGACATTACAGGAGTTAGATTAGGATTAGGCTCAACACAATGTGTTAACATAAAGCGAAGGTCTCCATAAAGACCATGGAAGGTGTTGTGTGCAAGGCCAAAGTTTTGCTTTTAAGCGGCCAATGTACAGAAGGTAAGCTGAGTTCTCAGGGGAGCATCTCAGGCTAGGGCAGGAGCCTGCAGGTGGGAGGGGGAGAGGGACAGAGTGGCTTACCTCATGCAGGGTGTCCAGCACATGCAGAGTCCCATACACATGGCTTCAGGGCGGCAAGGGGTGGGGGGGGAAATGCACGTAGTCTATAGCATTAACCTATAAGCATCTGCTGTATCAGTTCATTGATTATACCACTGTTTCCCAATTTTATTTGGCCACGGAACCCTTTAAAAATAAAAAACGCTGGGGGAAACTGGTCGACCAAAAAAAAAAGGGGGAAAAACTGTCAAGCAAAAACAAACAAACAAACGCTGGCCCACCCCTAAGACCACGGTGGCTAGCGGCCCCTTGAAAATGGTGGCCCTTAAGACTGGCTCGGGTTAGGGGGGAGAGTGATCGGGTTCTCATGGAGCCCTTACATTCACTTTGTGGAACCCCAGGGAAACATTGGATTATACTACGGCCAATCCCTGAGTTGCGAATGGTCGAGTTACGACCGTTCGCACTTACGACCAAAGCTCCCATGGAGCAGTCGTCAACAAAGAGCGTCTAGATTACATCCAGATCTGTTGACAAAGCAAGCCGCTTTGTCGACATGACAGAGTAGACACAAAGTACAGTGTAGATGCAATAACGCCTTCTGTCAACAGAACTGTGTCGACAAAAGGAGTTATTCCTCGTAGAATGAGGTTTACAGCCGTTGACAAAACTGCTGAGTTCTGTTGACGTTATGTCGACAGAACTCAGTGGCAGTGTAGACGCAGGTATAGCTTTGTTGACAAAAGTCCACTTTTGTCAACAAAACCCTGTAGTCTAGACACACCCATAGTGTTGCATCTATCTTTTTATATGTTTTAGTCTACAGAGCCGGGCTGGGCAAAATACAGCCTGCCAAGCTGTGGGCCTCAGCCTGCAGAGGCTGTGCGGTGCCCCAAGCAGGCTCCCATGCATGCTGCTCAGAAAAGTGGCTGTGGGGCTGTTTCTCTTTAAAAACTGTGAGGGGAAGAAGGCTTCAGGTGTAACTCCTGTCCCCAGCACAATCCCATTGGCCAGTTTCTTATCAGAAACTGGCCAATGGGAGCTGCCTGTTTGAATAACAGCCAGCCATAAAGCACTAGCTCCCTCCCCTCCCCTATTCACATAAGCACATGGCTGGGCAGTCTGTGCAGGCATGGGGGCAGCCAGGCTGGTAAGAAACTTTTTAAGCTCTTCAAGCCTTAGGTCTGCAGGCAGGCAGGCAGGCAGGCTGGTTGGGCTATGGGCTGGTGAGTCTCCTGGCCAGAGCCTGTCTTTGGCACCCCAGCCCCTCTCTTACCAAACCCTCTGCCCCCTCCTCCCCCATTCAACATAATCAAAACTTCTGCCCTCCTCTTGCACCCATACCCCCTCTCAGATCTGGCACTTAGGTAAGCAATTGCTGTGGAGCCTAAGCAGTTAATCAAAGGCTATTCCTCCTCCCACCCCAACAGAAGCCAAATTCGACCTAGTGTTACCTATCTATCACTGCTGGACTGAGAATCAACAAATCAGGCCAGACAAGGTTTAGGGCCAAACCATGTATTTGAAAGTTAAAGGCACACAACAACAAGCAACTGCAACAAACCCACCCTATCCCAGAAGAAAGAAAGATAGAAAGGTCCCATACACAAAAGGGGTACACTTTACAGAATAGGAGATGGCGATGGATGCCTGCGACCTACAATCCCTTGGCTAATTGAAAGCCTTAGGAAAAGATCAGCAGGGGAGATCCCTCGAAGCGCTGGTCTGTCCTCCAGAACAGATATGCTTCCTGGATCCTCGTCTCCACCGTGGGTTGGCTCCTCCGGAAGAAGCTCCTGTCAGCCCTTCAGCTTCACGGATCCGTCTGGTAGGCAGGGTTTAGTGGATGAGCAACAGAGTCCCAGTCCAATAGGCACCTGCCAGAAATCCACACAGCACCACGAGCTAGGCCTCAAAACCCTAACCAAACATCCACAGGCATAGGATGGAACGTCACAGGGAAGACAAATGAAGACACGAACCTAACCAGACTACAGACAGACAGGCAAACCAGAGTTCCTCTCAGAACCAAGCATTTAAAGTTTCTGAGGTGAGAAAACAGGAGTAGTGAGTGGGGTGCAAAATATGGTGTGTGTGCAACGAAAAGTGGGGCTGAGTGCAAACTATCCAATCTTTTCAATAAAGTTTAAAGTTTGATTTTTAAAAAGTTACCAGACAGTGTTGCAGTTTTCTGTTACATTGATTTACTTTTTAAATAGCAAAAATTGAGTCTTTGTTAAGGAAGTGTCAGTTCTGCGGGCAAATTCCAGTCCTTAGTGATTTCAGCACCAATGACTTCACTAGGTAATGTGGTACCTCACCACCATTGCCTCCTTTGCACTGCCCTTCAACACATATTGCCTGCATGTTGAGTCCAAAGTCAATCACACTGAGACAAGACAAGGACTCTCGATAGATTCTAGTCAGCTCTGACTTTAAACACTGGATGTAAAGGGCCAGATATAATTGAGGACTCTCAAACAGACTCTACACCACCAGAAATAAAACCTGTTTCCATCTTCTGTGACTTTCACTTAGATGTGACTCACTATCCTCTGCTTAGTGTTCAAGTTATGGTAGACCCTAAGCCAGGTCATATTAAGTTCAGGTCTTTTACCTTTTAATCATACAATACAGATAACAACATTTCATTCTCCCAGCTCCAAGTCTTAAGTGAATTTCAACACAAAAGAGCCAAAATTGATCACCTTGACACACCAAGTGTGTCTACTGATGATCTCTGTGGCGAAGTAGGTATGTCTATATAAATAAGGTCTGCTCATGAAGCCTTTTCCTACAGTTGATTAACAGATGGCAGTAGATAGCTCATTCAGACCACTGGCTGATAATAATCAGTCACCCTGACCAGCCATTAACCATAGTCATGGACTCACCCTACTCTCCATTGTCTCTTATGATTCTCTGATGACCTGTGACACAAGAGGGTGGAAAGAGAAACTGAAGGGAGAGACCTCTCTAAATTCACCAATCAAAGAGCAGTACTACCAACCCAAAAATCACAAGGAACGCCTACACAAAGTTATGAGAATGGTTTACAAATCATAAGATTTTTTTAAAAATAAAACATGTTGGATTTTTTTTGGCCTTTTGTTTCTTGTGTATTTAGGGTTCATATTTTAAAGCTTTCCTCCTTAGCTGTAAGGCCCAGAAGTATAGAGAACTTTTTTTAAATGAAAGCTGAGATTCCTACATAATCAATTGACTCCAGGCCTTTAGAAAAACACCAAATGTTTTGAGACTCATGGTAAAACAATGGAGGAATTCTTGTGAGCCCATGCTTTGCCCACAGTATAAATTAAAAAAAAAACCAATATGGGTATGTCTACACTTGCAGCCTAACTTGGAATAGGGCTGCAAATGTAGGCATTCGAAATTGCAAATCAAGCCCGGGGTCTAAATATCTTGATTTGCATGTTCCCGGCCGGGCGCCATTTTTGAAATTGATAAACCCATAATAAGTGCCTGCGTCTACACATGGCAGTGAAACAGGCATTAAAATAAAGCCCTAGTTCGAAATGCCTGTTAAACCTCATTGCAGGAGGAATAACAGGTAACAGGTATTTCGAATTAGGGCTTTATTTCAAACGCCCGTTTCACTGCCACGTGTAGAGGCGGGCAGTTATTCTGGGCTTGTCAATTTAAAAAATGGCGCCTGGCCAGGAACATGCAAATCAAGCACATGATATTTAGATCCCGGGCTTGATTTGCAATTTCTAATGCCTACATTTGCAACCCTAGTTCGAATTAGGCTGCAAGTGTAGACATACCCTATCTTCCCCACTAACCATCCTAATGAGATACTGCAAATGGTGAACTGAATTCAACAGCTCCTGATATGAACAGGTATCAACCCAGTTTTTCATATTTGAGATGGGTTACCAGGAATCATACATGACCATATGAAATCTTTCCACTCTCAAGTCAGCATATTCACAAAGCACCTACAATTTTGATCTATGCATTTATTGGATAGTGAAAGAGAAAGGAGGGGAATTAGTGTAATAAATGTTCAAATAAAAAAAAAAAAGCCTGAAGGAATTAGGATTGGGCTCCTACATCTCACGTTCAGAACTGACTAGGACACTTATGACCATTTTTCAAAGGTGTGTGAAGATCAGATAGATATCTTTGAAGATCTGAGTTGGCAACTGTCTCTTTAGGAGGTTAATTATCTTTGAAAATCTGAGTTTAGATTTCCAAGTCCAATTTTCAAAAATGACTTTAGTCACACAAGTGCTTTTGAAAATTTTAACTGGGGGCCTAAAGAGACAAAAATAAAATGAGACAAAAGGCAGGAGATATGGTATTCCTTTTAAAAACTTGTGAGATCTATTTTTAACTACATTTTATATTATTTTTCTCCATGCCACTTCTGTTTTTGTTTGGACAATTTAAGAGGAAGAATGTATTGATTGCACTTCGATTTATACTCACAAATAATTCCTTTTTCTTCTGACAACTTCCTCATTATATATACATTTTATTGTGTTGATATCCCTTGCCTACTCTGTTAGGCTTTTTTATTTTGTGTGGAGGCCAAACCCCCCTCCCACAACGCAGAGACGAAATCCCTGCGCTTGACTCACCCCTCTTGAGTCCTGCGGTACGGTCATGGTGCTATAGCCTGCAGGGAAGCCGCTGGCGCAGACACCTCCTCCCACAGCACACCCAGCGCGCTACAGAGCTGTGGGAGGGGAGCAGCCAGCGCAACCCCTCACCAGACCAGGTCAATTAGTGAGGGTGCTGGCCTGATTGCACCTGCTGCCCGTGTCACCACTGGGGTGTACCCCAACTAGCTCTGGGCGCCCGCCTCAAGGTCTCCTCCCACCCCAGAGGTGCAAAGGCTGCAGCAGGCGTGGCTCTCCCGGGGCAGAGCTGAGGGGCACCAGCTCCCAGGGCAGGGATCCCTGATGCGCCCCAGTACTATGCTCCTGGCCCAGCACAAGGCCCCCGGCTACCGCCGCCCACCCGCAGCAGCACTTGGCCCTTCGCCCACGCTCCTGGCACCCAGCTGTTCCCGCCATACCGCTCCCCTTCCCGCCCGCCAGGAGT